AACTGAATTTTAAGCCAGATCAAACTTGAACTCTCTCTAAATGTGTCTTTTTCCCAAGGAAATGACCTTGAATGACCTTTTTTGCCCGAGTCGCCATTCTTTCTTCGTATTGAGTGTTTACTTTTGAAATGTCGACAATCGCTCTGCTGATAATACGCATGTACTTTGGATGCAATGCAGCCGTTATAACTCACCATTTCAACATTGCGATATACGTATTCTTGGAAAGAGTACTTAGGGGGGGAGGAAAGCGCCACATCTCGCCCGGCGCACCTGATAAACCTGCGCCCACTGTCGGGAACTTTTAAAAACACTCCCCGGGCGGAGGGCGAGTGCTTAAACAGGTTCCCGGGGGTCATGCATGTCGCACAGCGTGATCGCTCTTGATAGCCGGGCTTCACGCGCTGAAACGAGGCCCGGACGGAGCCGCCGGTGCTCGTCTTTCACTGCACGAACAGGAAGCGGTGCCGCACAAAGCAACTTGTTTTTCGAGTTGTAACCAAACAAAGAAAAAGGAAAGCCTTGCGTGCCGCTGACGGCTCTTTGCGGTTCCGTTTCAGGTGAAGCAGTTCTTGAGCTCGCTGTGAAGATGGCGCCGCCGCTGGAAAATCGAATCCGCTCCACAGGAGGAGGAAAAGCTGAACGGTGTGAAACGCCTCCTTGGTGGCGGTTGTTTTTCTGTAAATTACAATCACCACACGTGATCCGACCTGCTCCTCATTTTTTTTTTTATTGAAAACAAACCCAATGAACTTTTTTCTTACGTCTGTTGTGTATTTATGTAAATGTTTTGTGCCGTCAGTTCTCGCAAATGACATTAAACTTGAAATGCTTGTTTAATTCTTTTGTGGTCATCAACTGCAGTAAATCTGCTTTTAAATATAACCCGGGTAGTTAAAGAGGATGATGATGATGTTCAGCTCTTCCAGAAGAGGTCACCAGTCTCCTTAACAGCTGTCCAGTCAGCCATTTGTGACTGCTGAGCTTTACCTGGGAGCTCCAAAGGGATTTGACCACCTGAAATAGGTGATCGATGGTTATGTGGCCTCATAAGTGTGTGTGTGTGTGTGTGTGTGTGTTACTGCTAAATTAAATCCCGTGACTGAAAACAGGGACTAGTTGAGTCTTATTTAAAAGGCATGTGAACAAAAGCACAAAGTCACTGAACTCTAAACATTTGGTTGTTTGGCTCCATCCGGGGAACCAGGGTCGATTGTCAATGTTTGGTGCGCCACGCAGAAGCAACTTTCTGCCTCCCCCCCTCCTCCTCCTCCTCCTCCTCCTCCCTCCCCCCCGGTGGCGTCACGGCAGGAGGAGGGATGGCACTTTAAATATGGAAACAGACGCGCTGCCTCGCACAGTTTCCTCCGCACGCGAACCAGAACCAGCGCGAAACCGCCAGGACGAGACGCGCGCCGCTTCCACTCCGACCAGGAGAGAAAGAAAAAGCTCCTCCGCTTTTGCCTTCTTTGTGTTTTAAAAAAAACTTTTTTTTTTTTTTTTAAATTAACTTTCCACGTTAACAGTTTTGGATCGTCTCGAGTAGTTGAAGGTTTCCTGAAACCTGAAGGCAAACAAGTCCACCGACCGCGGGCCGATCGCGGCCACCATGAGTTCCGAGAAGAAGTGAGTAGACGCGCTCTTTGTTCCCGCTGCCCAGGTGCGACTCGGGGGCTCCAGGTGGCCTCGCTCCGCCACACGAGCCCGTGCGTAAATGTTACACAACTTGTTACAGTGTATCGATCGCGCCACTTGCGTTGTGTTTTCAGACCGGTCGCGACTGAAGCCGCCGCGCTGCGTTTAATCCTTTTTGACGAGAACCGTGTCGCCTTTAATTACGGAGACGCGGGGAAGGTGTTTGCGCTGCAGCTTTGCGCTAAAGCTGTGCGTGTGTGTGTGTGTGTGTGTGTGTGCGTGTTTGTGTTTGCAGCTCGCGGACCATGTGGTCTACGCGCTGACACCCACCACAGATCCGCATTCACGCGGGCCAGCGTGTGCTTCCACGTTGCGCAATGACGCAAGACATCAAGACTTGGCGGTTTTATTCCGAGTCGCGGAAACGCCCACTTCCGCCCTTCTTTCTTATAACGTTTAACGACACGAGCGTGCAGTGTGACGACTCTCACCTGCGGTCAGCGTGAGTGAGACGCAGGTACAGCAATCAGCCCCCCCCCCCCCTCTTCTGTATTTACTGGTGCCCCCACCGCAGAAGAAGAAGTGAAACCCAGAAACCAACAGCTGAGTGGGTGCAGATCTCCAGGAGATGATTCCTCATTCTTCTGCTCCACCCGTTTCCTCATCCACTCAAAGGGTTTGCTCACAGGGAGATTTTCAAAGTCAGGGAGTCGGCTACTGTTTTTTAATTGGAGCATATAAATGACATGATCACCTGAGCACAGGTGTGGGGAGGGGGGGGGGCGGTGTCCTTTTGTCACCTCTAATCACAGAAGGTTATCCGTCAATCTATAAACTACCAACACCGGCTTTTTATAGTCCTGCAGCTTTTCCAATGGGGATGTCTCCCTCTGGGGGAAACATGAACATTCTGCCCCTCTAGGAAAGTGGAACTGACCCCCCCCACCGTAAAAAATTGCTGGTGAAAAATAATTATCCGCTGCCGCCCTGAAATGACAAACCACTAATTGGCCGCTCACCTGTTCGCTGTGACCGAAAGTGCTCTGGCTGTGCCGGGGACACCCACCCTGCTGTCCTGTGGGGGGGGTGCGTCACGCTGTAAAGAGATGGGAGATGATCCCTGATCCCTAGCAGCTGATCCCCCCCCCCCCATGGCTCCTCACGCACCGACAGGTTTATCCTGCCTCCACCGGGTCAGCGAGTACGACTGACGACCTTATTTATCTTCCGTTTATCATAAGCGGTGAAGGGGACATCACGGCAGGAAATAGAAGAAGAAGAAGGTGGTTTCCTGTTTACGGCGTGAGCGACTGGGGGGGGGGGACGCGGGTTCTTTATCAGCGCTTTCATGCACCAACACGAGATCCGTGGTCCCTGTTCGGCTTTGTTTTTAGCTCGACGTTGCATCACGTCGGCGACTGACGGAGCCTGAGGAGCACGTTTCTTCACCTCGTAGCTCGTTCCTCCTAACACCCCCCCCCTCCCCCGTCTGCTTCAAAAGCAGTCATCTTCTCGTGCATCCTGTGTGTATGTGCACCACCCGGGGCGTGTTCCCCATCATGAGGGTCCCCCCGCCCCCCTCCTCCTCCTCCCTGTCTGAGGCCTCAGTGGAGAGATTAACGTGGCTCCGTGAGCTAAAGCTACACCAGCTTCCTGTGTGGCCCTCGCCCCCCCCCCCCCCCCCCGCGTGTTACATGACCCTCCTCGGTGCACACAAACCCCCTCCCCCCCCCGGCGACTACCTGCTGCACCACCTGAGCTGGTGCATCGGAGCAGCTCCACCCTTGCTTGTTGTTTTTTCTCCTTCCAGTCCACGTGGTTCACTCGCTTCGGAGACGTCGGCAGCGGGACGCTAATTGGGAGGGCAGATGTTCCCTCAGAGTTCGGGATGAACTCAGCCTCCCGTACGAGGCGATACCGCCTGACCTCTCTGGTGACCCCCCCCCCCCGGGCGTAGCGTGTAAACTAACTATCACCCTCCTCCTCCTCGCTCCAACGTGACGTCTGCTACGTGTCTCAAGGACAGATACCGTGGCCCCACGGGGGGGGGGGACCAGAGGAGCTCGCAGTGCCCCCGCGGGAACACGTTGTATCCTTCCGGACTTTGTTTGTTCAGCGGTTTGTGTTTTTGAGATGATATCGTCCCAGATGGGGATTCGTCAGCTGTTCGGCGTGTCCATTGACGCGCATCCAACGTGGTGCTTTTTGGGGGCCTCGATGCAGATGTTTAGGTGGCCTCCGTCGTGCTTTACTTGTTTGCCGCTCCGGAGGAAAGATGCAGCTTGAGGTTAAATCCCACATTCCTTCCGTCCAGGGTCACAATGGATGAGTAAAGGTCACGTAGCCGGAGAAGATGTCTCGTCCCGTGAAGCAGTTTAAATCTACGCACAAACTCACTGACTGAAAAGAAACAGAGAAATGTGTACCCTCGTGTGTTGTGCTGCATTGTGGGTAAATAGGGAGGTGCCGGTTTATCTGACCCTGAAGCCTTGTTTCAAATTTTTTCTTTTTAGATGATACAAAATATCACATTTGTTGCCACATTAAATGACCTTTTGTTCGTCCGCCTCGCAGAATGGAGGACGAGGCCGTCTTGGACAGAGGAGCGTCCTTCGTCAAACACGTCTGCGACGAGGAGGAGGTGGAAGGTAAGCTCGGGGACGACTGTGTCTCCGCGTCTTTCCTCACAAACTGTAAAAACCCAACTGTCCAGGTGGAAACCGCGGCCGTCCCTTTTGTGGCCGATGGTGACGAGTCGGATGAGGAAAGTTTCACTTCGGCTCAGCGTTCCTCAACAGGCCGAGTGCTGACATCCGGTCAGCTGAAGCCACATGAGGACGTAGAAGACGCCCACGTGCCTTTTTATTTTTTTTTTCCGCTCGTCGCTCCGTCTCCATCGGGAATGTGGCGGAAGTGCTCTGTTTAGGGCCTCAGGTGGTCTCCGGGTGGACCCCGCCAGGAAGGCCGCGAGACGGGTTTTCTGGAATGCGCGGCTCAGCCAGTTAATCTCGCTCCCGCGCTGGAGGTTTCTCTGATTGCCTCCCGGAGTCATAACGTCTCCATTTTCCCGTACGAGCTGCCGTGTAGGAAGCTATCGGCGTTGATTTGTCTCTGCCGCTCGGTATCGCTTCCTGATTGGGAAATAAGCGACAAGGAAACAAACACTAATGCGTCAAAGTCGCCGTGCGATAAGAAAGGATTTCACACCGCCGAGTGTAATCTGACCCGCGTTCCTTCTCCATTGTGTCGTGTTTGTTGCAGGTCACCACACTGTGTACATTGGCGTGCACGTCCCCAAGAGCTACCGCCGCAGGAGACGCCACAGACGCAAGTCCAGCCACAAGGAGAGGCGGGAGCGGGCCGACCACGGCGCGGAGGGATACAAGTCGGACGGGGACTACGCAGACGAGTCCGCGGCCGGCGTCCTCAAACCCCTCAGTGAGTCCCGGGGAAGGACGGCGCCGCGTGCGTTTCGATCGATCCTGCAGCGCTCGCGTGGTTATCGCGGCTGTGAGTGAGCACATGTGGAACGTGGCGCTTAACGCGCGTGAAGTAGATCGAAGCGGGGTATCATCCATCACCTCGGTGATTAGCACTGCGCTCTGACCGGATTCTCAGGAGATTAAAAAAAAAAAAACGGTCGATGAGGAAGGACGAGGCCGGAAAAACAACAACACCTGTTAAGCAACGGGCGATCCGAACAATACTTTAGCACTGAGGGGGAACAAGTAAGGATCGCTTCATCAAAGAGTGAAGCAGGATCACAAAAGCACCACCGAACGGCAGGAAAACGCATCAAATCAAGTGGTTAGTTTTTAACTCGACAACGGCCTCTAAACGAGCCGTGTAATTAAATAACTGCGTCACCACCACACGTCGTTAAACCAGCGGCAAACATTACGGCCGCGTTGGAAGACGTGCAATTATCGCTGTGCAGGAATTGGACATCAAAAGGCCCAGACTGGAAACCAACACTGTGGGGGGGGGGGGGGGGGGAAACCGCTGAGGTCTCACCGTGGGGTTCGAGACGGAGGGGATTTGGAAAGCAAAGTTTCACGGCTCTGGTTCTTACAACCGGCTGTTTCCACGGAGGTGAAATAAGAAAACAAGAAACAAATCAAAGCAGAGCGACGTGCAGCAGCAGACGGAAGGAAACGCAAACGCACGCTTGAATCGTTGTTTAGGTAAACTGAGAGAAAGACGCTCTTGTGTGCAACCCCCAAAAAATGAAAGAAAACCCTTCCAAGAGGGAAAAAAGGGATGAAACCTCATATAGTAGCTATATATCTATATCTATCTATCTATCTATATCACAGGCTCACTTTGCACAGCAGGCGAGCACCTGGGTAATCCTCTCACACCGGCGTAATCCCGGCTGCTTAGTCACCCCGAGGAGGGTGTCGCCCCCATTCATCACACGCGCCGCTTCACAGAAAGCGCAACGTGATCGGTCAGTCTTCGCCAATCAAATGTCTTCGTATAAGCTGACGGGGAACCAGACCGACCAGAAGGGGAACCGGCACTTTAATGCAACAGTTTGCAGGTTTGCGGTTCATCGACGGCGTCTCGCTGGAAGTGGAAACAAACACAGACGCAGGTTTTTTTTTTTTTTTTTAAACCGTGCCCCGGTTGACTTGTAAGTGCGCCCTTTAAGACGCAGGCAAACACATTGCGGCTTCTGTCCGCTGGATCTCTGCAGAGATCTGGAGGGTAAACAGTCGCGCACGATTGACCGAGAGGACAGAGCCCCGGCGCTTCCTGCAGAGGGGGAAACAAACCCCACACCTGAGAGAGACGGTTTGTAGACTTGAACAATCTTTTCCGCTGTGCGCCCCCCCCCCCCCG